ATAAAATATAAAACTAATACAACCATGTTTGTAATTGGAGCTAAAATTTGTAATCTGAAATGGGTTTGGTTTGTCAGTGATGCCTAAATAAAATATAAAACTAATACAACCATGTTTGTAATTGGAGCTAAAATTTGTAATCTGAAATGGGTTTGGTTTGTCAGTGATGCCTAAATAAAATATAAAACTAATACAACATCCATAACGATCAAATTTAGTAGGCCTTACAACTATACATATAATTGTTTTTTGCGTATTTCGTTTTCTCAACTTTTATTATTTCAGTAGTATATATAGAGTTATGGTATTTCAAGCCACGGTCTATATGGAAGGACTATCGAAGTCATTCTGAAAACTTTCTTGTAAACAACATTTTCAATATTAGCACCTTCAGGGACATAAATTTTTAACTCTAAAACAAAAAGAACAACAACAAAAAAAAACGATTTAAGTGCAACCCCGACAGACTAACATCCATTTTTTTCATATTACACTATTATAGAATATCAACCACATCGTACAAGTTATATTCAGTGCCGACCAGGGTTCATCAGGCTGGCTGGGATACGACAGACGTACTTTTTTATGCGGTATTTATATAATCAGTTGTAATGGACAACGACCAGTATGGTGTGAACTAAGATTTGGTTAACAGTTCAAAATTATGTCCGACGACAAACGGCCTAAAGCTTTGCCATAAAAAAAATGATGTGGCGTCTAACTACTGTATTATGTGTTGTTTTTTTTGAAGTGAGGTCATAAAAGAGAATTTTATTAGGTACTTTATCTTTAAAATGGAACATCAAACTTGGGATACATTTTCAAGATAATTATTAGTTATATTTAACTTCTCGAAAAATCGACGATAAACGTTTTAAAAACTACACGTTCCCAATTAACACGTGTCATTTAAAAGCGCAATTGGGTCTCTGTTTTTTTTTTCTACATCGGGTTTTATTTCTTAATTTAGGTATTGTCTACTTTTTAAAGTTAATATTATGAGATAATTTCTAATATTTTGTAAATATTTATGTAATATTCGATAACCATTCCAAGTTTAAGTAAAATTTGCACGTTTTGTAAAGATAATATTCAGCAGAGTAATTTAGCGGTGATTAGTAGTAACAGACGAGACCCCACAAACATAAAAGCCGTCCACGTAACCTAGGCAACAGTGTGTGCCGTACGCAATATAATGAAGGGTCTCCACCTAGAAAAGTGAAAAAGGGAGGGGTGGTGGATAGCCTTAAAACGTGCAATGGAAGGTACGCTGCAGGTTTATTGTCAAGATGCACGGTCGTCAGAAAGAGCAAGACCAGACGTGGCGACATGCACAGTACTAACTTGGTCAGTCTCTAGGGTGGTTTTAATATGACGTACTCAACCTCGGTATACACAAGAAAGTAACTAGAGATTGGTAAAATATGTTTAAATTCGATTTTGACCCTAAAGTGTATTGAAACCAATCTCTAACTGCTTCGAATATATGGAGAAATATTTACTTCAGCAATGTTGTTTAAACAAAGCTTCATTACTTCAAGTGCAGTTTTCAAATACACATGCACATAAAGATCAGTCATGATGCTTGCATTTGATTATAATGTTGAAATGAAAGCAAACTATATAATTCTAAGTTTAGTAAGGAAATATTACCTTTTGTTTAGAGACAAAACATTATTTTATGCCTATAAGCACGAAGGACCACATTGTACAGGTGATTGCGATGATGTTTTCAGTCATTTTAATATATGCATAGATGTAAGATTGTTTTAGTTGTTAATATTAATAGTTAAGGTACAGTAGCAGTGCAGTTTTGCCTAAAGTAATAAGTCTTCCGGACATGTTTTGCTGTAGCTCAAAATACTGTACACTGTAAAATAGATGAAAAATCACACACAAAATATGCTTACTCTTTGTGGAGCTAGTCCATACAAAATGTGTTCCTGCACTGCCAACCCATACACTTGCGCGCGCAACACATTAGAGGCTTCTCGTGGGTGCTGCGTATAGGAACTACGTGATCTTTTTCAATCAATGGTGTTATCAGGAGAGAGTAAATATAGCCTCTTTCTGAAGCTTTCTAACAGCTGTATGCGAGTGATTTTTACCTCATCTCTAGTGCGACCAGAGGGTAGTAACTAACTTAGCTATGAGCTTTTAGTTGTCGTGTGTTGTGCAGTTTAGTGCGCCATTTGTAGGCCTTACATACTTACACATGTGTGCGTACGATTGTTGTGTTCGAGTGGTACAACAACTTTATATATATATATATATATATATATATATATTATGTATGCTGGTGCAAAATTATGTGGCTTATATAAAAAAAAATCATCATTTCAATACAAGCTGATTTACAGAGCTGTTTCTGCAGTGTAATATCCATGAACAGAATAAATATATTGTTGCTCGCTTGTGGTTATTTGTAACCCGTAAACTATGTTTATACTTATAAGCTTTTTTTCGTTGTGTTGTTACATTTTTGTTTGCTGGTTTGTCGTTTTGCACAAAGTTATACTTTGGGCTGTCTGTGCTGTGCCCACCACGGGTATGGAAACCCGGGTTTTAGCGTTATAAGCCCAATTTTATAATAAATAAAGACTTACCGCTGAGTCACCGGAGGAGGGGGCGTGTTGTTATATAAATAATTATGTTTCCAAGCATGTGGAAAATTAAATGAAATAGGTTTCTTGTTTTGGTTAAGCTACAAACATGTTGGCCGGGCGTGACTAGCGGTTTGCGTGTCGACTGTGAATCTGAGTCTTTTATTTCAAAAGATCGCCCTCCGCACTGTGGGATTGTGATGCGTTATTAAAGTAACGGGCAAATCCCATTATTCAATTCGAGTAGTCCAAAATTTGGCGGTGAGTGTTGTTGAATAACAGCTGCCTTCTGTTTAGTCTATCAATTCAAAATTAGACTGCTAACGCAGATAGCTCCTGAGTAGTTTTGTACTAATATCCGAAACAAAACAAACGTTATGTACGTACTACGTAATAGGTTTGGGGCTATTTAATTTTATGATACATTATCAGCTTTGTAAATAGTATTTTTCTCACTGTCTTGCATTGTTACTAAATTGTATTGTATTGTTTGTGTGTGCAATACAGATACTTTATTTCATTATTATACATTGTTCTACACATTTTACTGCTTCTTCACTAGCACTCCGTACGATACTATTACTACATTCCCTGTGTGATTTTTCGAATCGAAAGAGCTTAGATTATAATAACTCAAACCTTAATCTTCTTTTACGGGATGGAAAACTTAATCAGCCGATGTTAATCCTTCCTAGTTATAATCACACTCGGTGATCTTCGGAGAACTTTGTCTTCGTGTGTTAAACAACACACGTTAGTCGTTGCAGGTGTGATTTTCCATTAGCTCCAACTCGTATCCTGCAGTTCTGTATCTGTTTGCGTAATTTTAGAATTCTAAGAAATATTAATACCCCGTATAGCAACCAAGGAGAAAAGCATTTTGTAATCGAACTAATACAATATTAGCATTATATAAAGGCGAGAGAAATTTGTTAGAAGTAATATCTGTTTCCAAAACAGCGAACAAAGCTTTCATTCAATCTGTTTGATTTTAAAATTGGTTAATTCTTTTAGATTTTCCCTTACGGTAACCTGTGTTTACGTATACTTGCTATTACAGTTTGTTCATAGAATAACTTGGGCATGCACAAGTCTTTGTATGATAGTGTTTTAAAAAAGAATTTCCATTACGTGTACATAGTGTAATCGGGTTCAAATTAATCTTGTTTCACTCTTGATGGTTTTTTTTTTTGTAGCTATATTTTGAAACATGATTTCCAAAAAGCAATCGTAAGAACTGCAAGGAGTTAGCTTCACAAAATTAATAATGTAACAGTTTACGGCAGTCAAAGTTTAATGATTGTCTCCGTTTACAGAAGAGTTTATAAAGGGAATTGAAGCCTAAAATTTGCTTGACCAGTTACTTTCAATGTTCGTGCAACCATGAATGATATTAATAATCAAGATTATTGTGTTATAGTTGTTCTAAAAAAGAAAGAAATGTGGAGAATTCAATCGAGGTATATTCACTTAAAAAGTTCATATTCTGTCCTATCAAAAAATAATGCTTTAGAAAGTATGATTAAGAAATTTATGGTTTAAAAAGTTAATATATATATATATATGGTTGATTAATTGCTCTGTTATGTTCAAGAAAACCCTGTATTTAGGAAAAACGAAAAGGTTTACTCCAGGATTTGACAGATGAAAGAAAATATTGCTATTTCAGGATTTTCATTGAAATTTGTAGCAAGATGCTTTCCACTTTACAGTTATGTTTTATTTTTAATTTATTTTATGAAAAAAATTGCATATTTTCTGTTATGTTATATAAATTATATATTTTTAAATAAATAAGATTTTCCATACTTAATGTAATGGATATTTTCTCTCACTTTTACCATTACCTTATAGTTGTCACAGAGTTACTGCTATGTTTTTTGATAGTCCTAGGAGGGGGGCAATAAAAATCAGTCTAATGCAAGAGTAACAGGAAAATACTGAGGAGACTCGGGGAAGACACGACGAAAACGTAAAGCTTACATGTCAGACACCTCAGTGCAACTAACATATTACACAAACAATGCACGTGGGTGCAGCACTCAATTTATGAGTTGTGCATGTTATATAAAATTGATTATATAATCAAACACATAATTTTGAGTAGTCCAGTATTCTTACTTTTATTAAACACACTTGACCCAGTCTTGCTTTATTCGTCCTTTGCCTGCATATTATTACTAGGCTATATCCGTGAAGTGAGAGGCATGGTTATTCTAGTTTGAACCATTTAAAAGGCATTCTTGGCAACTGTTTCGGAAACGTAAAAATATTGTTTTTCATGTCACTCTGAGCGCGGTAGTTTTAATTGAATGACTTGATTTGGTTTGTCAGCTATATTTCTTTCCCTTTCACTCACGTGACACTTCTGTATGTTCATCATGCGGTTGTTTTCAGGCGGGCATGGGACCTTCGAGGGCGGCGCCGACATGACGGAGAAACAGGAAGACGAGACGGAAGATAAGAACGACTACGGGACAGAGGAGCATACCCACAACCCTGACGAGCTACTGCCCCCTGTCGCAAAACTAGAGAAATATGCCAACAGCGATATAATTTTCAACAGGTTTGGTTTTCTTTTTTTTTTTAATCCAACTTTACTCTCTAAGGGGTTGTCGTCACGAAGGAATTTTATAATAACTGTTAGCAACAAGAACATTTATTCATATTGATAATTGCAACAGTGATAGAACCTAAATAATGAAAAATAAATTATTAATCAAAACTAAATTATAGCGCAAAAGAAATAAACGATTTAATTAGAATTTAAAAATTCCATTTAGTTCATTCAGGATGTTTCTGAGAAAGCCGTTCATTTAAAACAGAACTAGAGTAAAAAAGATACCAATGGTACATACGTGTCTTAATATGTTGCTCACTGTTCTGAGTTAAAACATATTTTTTAAAGTCTTGAAGTTTTGTCTTCTTTATATGTATGGATATTACTCTCATAGGAAAAAAAAAAGATAGTAAGGCTTTGCATCCTTGGCTTAAAAATGCTGGTAAAAGCCACGCGTTTGTCTAATACAATGAATGGTTTGTCTGACTTTGGTCATTAATTTTAGAGAATTGTTTTATAAGTTGCATTCTTATAGATTTCTTGTAAATATTTTGAACCAAGTTCATAATCATTACTTCTATACTTTTAATAAAAGAAAAACGTTGGTGTAAATTGTTGGAACAATAAGAAACAAAGAATATAATGATTATGAATTTACAACTAATATATGTAGCCAAATAAAAAAATAGACAAGCTATAATGTAAATTTGTAACAATATTTTCAAGACTTGCCATGTTCTTGGATTTGGAAAATGTGGTGTCATGTTTCTGTATTTTGAGATTGTTTGTAGATGAAAATAACACACGTTTATTGGTCTCCTAACAAAACACTTTAAAAAAAAATATATAAGATCAATAAAAGACTGTTTATAATAACATGGTGTAGCACCAAAATGAATTTTAGAAGCCAGTTTCCAGAGTATTGTTTGTCAGTTTATGCTAATAAAAATGCATTAATTACGTTTGAACATGTTTTGTTTTGAGTTTCGAGGAGGCTTGCTGTGTAATTTTCTAAAATTTTGGTTACAACTTCAATGTTTTGTTGAATTCTGAGAACATGGGTGACTAATTAAAACTCGGAGTATTAACACTGTCGGAAATAGTTTTTAATTTTCAAAGAACTTTCAGAGAGGGCATATCTTATGACTAAAAATTCGAATATATGTGGTTAGATACGAACGGGAATTGAGTACAATACTACAACTCTATGTATTTTGTCGAATTTCGACAAGTTCTATTAGTATTACAACATATTCTTCTTTGCTTCCACTCATAATATAATTCGAAGGTGCAATACGAAAGCATATCAAGTAGTTATTAAAGGATTTGGTTAATAATAAACAACAGTAACCAATATTTAATATCAAACGCCTTTATTTACCAGACCCACAGTAAAGAATTGGAAATTTCTCCTGGACTCAATTCCCTGAAGGTGTTTGTGTGTGTGTGTGGGGGGGGGGGGGGGGG